AACTCAGATATTATAGCTATCGACGATAAAAGGTACAAAAACACGAGAGATCTTTTAAATTTAAGAAAAATTTCGTTGTAATTATACAATTTTTTCATTTTTCTCATTCCTAAAATTTCAATTTCGTTTCACATTAGAGCCTTCATTTTAAATCACGTAGTCGCAAAGTGAAGGCTGAAAAACTTGCATGAGCGTAGAGGTCGAGAAAGTTTTGAGGGCGAAAGGTGATAGAGAAATTTTTTAGTTATGAATCATTGTTACACTAATTTTTTAATTGCAGTAAAGATCTTCAATCTTTGTAATTTTGTATAAAAGTAACGATATTATAAAAAAAACTCATGTTTCAATATTTAGAGCTTGTTTGGTCCAAATTAAAATTTGATTTTTACTTAAGTCAAAGTCAAACAATCAATACTAACATATCTTTTATGGATCCTACAACTTTTCAATCACACATTTTAAAAACTTCTATCACAATCTATTAAATTTTTTTATTTTAATTCCTACCAAACACCTTCTTATTCCACAATCAAATTTGTCTTCATCGCACATGTTGTTTTGCTCTTTCTTCCATCTAGAGGTGTCAATTTGGTTCATTGGCTCGGGCCACACGTGACTCGGTCGCATGTGGCTCTGCCCTAAAATGCTCGAGCCCAACCTAGCTCATGTGGCGCGTCAGCTCAAGACATTTTTGCCCAATGAAGAGCTGAGCCTAAAAAAATAAAAAATAATGATGAAAACGCAGCCTTTTGAGGCAGAAAAAACAAGCTACTTTGTTGCCTGTGTTAAAAAAATACGAGTAAGCTCAGCTCGACTCGATAAGGCCTAGATCGAAAGGTCGAGTCGAACCTAAATTTTTGGTTAAGCAAAAGCTCGACTCGATTTGGCTCGGACAAAAAAAAGTTCAAACCATTTTTACTCGAGTCGAGCTCGAACCTCAAGTTTCAAGTCAGTTCGTTGACATCCTTACTTCCTTCTTTGCTACTGTTATTTGATTATAAATTTTGCTACTAGGTTGGTCTTACATTTTTTAGGGAAAAAGTTTAGTCTGCGCGGGCTGCAAACTCTTGAAATCGAGGTGGGCTGAGTCATCTGGGTCTCGATGGAAAGGACCATTTCTTCAAAAGAAAGGACCCTAGAAACACATTATCCTAGTCTACTCAGCCAACCTCTTGGCTAGGACATCGTTTCCTCTGGGTACTGGGTTTGGAAAGGTCATCAACAACGATCAAAGAAGACCATTTTTTTATAATTTTAATTTCAAAATTTATTTTTCATTGGTTGGACGAATTTGTCCTCTTGAAAAGGGCATGTGCAGTACACTCAATTAGTTCTGAAAGGTTGATCTGGGGATGCTTTCGCCAAAACTTAAAAGATAGATCCTGAATTCATCAAAAGTGTGTACCATAGGGACGAAGGCTGGAAAACGGCAAACAAGGTATCAAAAATTTATTTTTGAGCAATTTAGAATATATCCAAGAAACCCTTTAGGTATGAAATGCTTTCTATTTTGAAAAAACAACATTTAAAATCATGTTTTAAGAGACGCTTTAAATTAATATTTTAATTTAGAGAATTTAAATACATACAAAGTGTTTCAATTTTTTAATGTAAAAAATAATAAAATAATCTAAAAAAAGTTAATTAAAATAAAAGATAAAGAAAAATAATAAATATTTTTTAGAAATAGTAAAATTAAGTGTTAAATATAAAAAATTGATTAGAATAATTTAAATTTTAATTCTCTAAATTTATAAATACACATAATTAAAATCAAATTTTGATCATTATTTCACTATTCCAACAATCATTTTTGAATTTTTTTCTTACAGATAGGATCAACTTTATCTTTAACGATAAAAAAATCAATTATCAAAATCACTGTCAAACAATCACAATATACCCCCCGTTTGGTCTTTATTAAATTTCATTACATTACATTTTATTTTTCTCCTATTTTTAACCACACAATTTTTTTTAAAATAATATTACATGTAAATCGCAAATTTTTATTTCTTTTTCTATCACTCATTTTTAATAAAAATATTATTCTACCCATTTTTTGAAAATGGGGCCAAACAGGAGCATAGTGTACTGTCTAAGAAAGTAAAAACCCCGCCGTTTCATTTAGCAGGTCTATTGTCACCAAAACCCTAACCCTAATTCGCTCTCCTTCCTTTCCGCACAAAAAACCCCGAATTTAGAGAGAGAAAGTGCACTCAGTTCTGAATCTGCAACAATGTCGATGTCGAAGAGTTCGAAGATGCTCCATTACATAAACTATCGGATGCGCGTTACGATACAGGACGGCCGTCAGCTCATCGGAAAATTCATGGCCTTCGATCGGCACATGAATTTGGTGCTTGGAGACTGCGAAGAGTTTCGTAAACTTCCACCCACTAAAGGATCCAAGGAGGAGCGCGAAGACCGCCGCACTCTTGGCCTTGTTCTCCTCCGTGGAGAGGAGGTCATTTCGATAACTGTTGAGGGCCCACCTCCGCCCGACGAGTCCCGGTTAAAGGCCAGTGGTGCAAATGCTGTTGCGGGACCAGGGATTGGTCGGGCCGCTGGCCGGGGTGTGCCTACTGGCCCGCTTGTCCAGGCCCAGCCTGGACTTTCTGGGCCTGTGAGAGGAGTAGGTGGACCAGCTCCTGGAATGATGCAGCCACAGATCTCGCGCCCTCCCCAGATTTCGATGCCGCCGATTTCTTATCCTCCCCAGCAGCAAACTTCTGGGGTTCAGGCTCCTGTTATGAGGCCTCCGTCTATGCCGCCTCCTGGTGGATTCCCTCCGAGGCCTGGGATGCCGGGTGCACCGCCTCCACCTCAGTTTAGGCCGGGACCGCCTGGGCAGTTTCCACCTCCACAGTTCGGGCAGAGGCCAATGGGTCCTCCCCCACCCCAGATGATGAGGGGTCCTCCGCCGCCTGGGCAGTTTCTGCCTCCTGGACAGATGCCACCACGCCCGGGCATGCCGCCACCTCCTCCTGGCGGACAAGTTCACATGTTTGGTCCTCCTAGGCCTGGAATGCCTCCTCCACCCAATGCACCTTCTCAGAATCAGCAACAGTAGTAATAGCGACTGTTTTAGGTAAGCAATTATAAATAGCAACTGTTTATAGTGTATTACGTGGTATAATATTGTTTCGTTAGTAAATGAAACAGAATGCTTGTATCAAATCTTAAATCAAGTATAAGTAGGTGAATAAAGTTAGCTGTAGTCACGAGCTGTTAACTTGTAGTTTAGGTAGGTAAAATAATATATTTTACTCAGACATATACAGCTAAATTGTTGAACATCAGAGCATGAATGCCATTGTTACACGTTTGCTTGATTGTGACTAAAATATTACATAGACAATTGACGAATAGGCAACAATTGTTAGACGGTCAAAATTGAAGTGTTTGGTTGAAGTTGGATTGTGATGTTATAACAGAACTAAGTTTTTAGGTTAAGTTGACTCTACTGACTTAAAAGGAAACAATAGAACGTTGCTTAAAGGGACTTCATTCTCATAACTGAGCCACAGGACGGATACGGGAATAGAAGTAGAGGCATATATCTCATTTTGTAGTGAGTTCTTAGAGTAGATATTAGTTTAAGGGTTTCGTGGGCAGTGCAAAAGTAGTTAGAGAAAAGCAACTCTTGCAGCATAAAATGTTTGTCTTAGGAAAATGAGCCATTGACTGAAGCAAGAAATATAGTGGCTCTTAGTACTACTGTTATTCTTTTTTCTGTTTCTATCAATATGTTGAATGGGAGTTTCAAGCTGTGTAAAATGTTTATCTCATTTTTCTGATTCTTTCATAAAAGGAGAAATTTTGAGACATTTTTTTGTTCTCCAAAGGTTAGAAGACATAATGTATTAGCAATTATCGGTAACATTGCTGATATTCATCTTGCCCAATAAAGAGAATACAAATATCTACCTCTGCCACTTTATTGGCATTCTTCCATCTACATTAATCTAGTTCCACCATTTATCATTTGCGAGACCACACATTTTGTTGAATCGGAGGCATTTATGACCATTTAGCTTGTACGTGTTGCACTTCTTCGTTTATCCATTTAAACTTAATCTACCTCTATGTCTACCGCTACCTCTGTTCCTTCCATTTTTGGTTACCGAATTGGATGTCTTTCTTTTAAATATTCACTTTTTGATCTATTTGTTGCTATGACAAACATTTTTGTACTGTGAATTTTCTAGCAAAAAAAGTTAAGAAATAATCTTTCTCAAGATAAATTTTCATGATGTTGTGCCTTCCATATACTTGAATTCGGGGTGGGATGTAATTTTAGCTGGTAAAGTAACTTTGAACTTGTTCTCTTCAATTAGTACAAGTTTATGCCAAAACTTTTCATCTTGAAAAGAAATGCTCACTAACATATAATCCAAAGTTGGTGATGTGTCACATACAGCTCTTTTTCTCTGCTTTATTTCATTCTTTTGATAGGATAGCATTCAGTTACTTCTATTTACCATGATTACTGGATACTTTTGTTAGAACTGACCTTGATTAACAATTTTAATGTACTATTATTTCATTTTGTAGCAGGGACTTCTCCTGTTTGGCAGTTCGAGTGCTGTGAAGGTTAAAACTCAAGGCAATTTTATGGGTAGCTTTAAATTTGCTAATGCATTCTAGTGATGAGATTTTCTGTCTGTAATTATGCTCACTTATTGATGTTTTCTTGTTATGGTTTGACTATCAAAACATTTGTCAGAGATTTTGCGTCTTGCCTGCAATAATGTTCACAATAAAAAAAGAAAGATTTAAAAATTGGTTAAGATTGCACGAACTTAATCAATCCCAGTTTAGATTGCCACTAAACTTGTGCAAATTTTACATATGGATCAAAGTTTCTAAGATTCAAACTAAATTGATCTTGAGTTTCCAATTGTGTATTATACAATTATGCGTGTATGATGATTTTCTTTACGTGGTCATACTTGATGTGCTACTAGTATTCATTTGTTGCCTGTGGTAACATTATTATTGTATCTTTAATTGCCTAAATCATGTCTAAGAGGTTGGATATCATGCTTGGCAATGTGATGAATCGCTTAACTCGAGGGCTCTAGTTTTTCTATAACATGTAGAAATTTATCGGACAGCTGAGATGTGGATGTAGAGCAACTACATGTACCGTGAGCAGAAATTAATTTGGTTGCAACACATGTAAACTATTCCTCAAGCCTTAAAGACGTTATTTTTAATACACATGGAAATGCAAGTGATTGAGAAATGAGTAATGCTATTCATAGTTACTTATTGCGGGAGTCATCTTACATGGTGGTTTGTGATTTGATGTATTGATGTGGTAATTTTTTCTTATTTTATATATCAAATCACTAATTGTCAAATATATGTCACGTAGGGCTATTCTGATAGTGATTGACTGCAAATAACATTATTGTTTAGAAATGGATTTTTGTTCGGGCCCCACTGTTCTGGTTTGGTGCTTTGCTTCTAGCCATTTTGTATGTGTTGAATATTGGCAGAGTTAGTTGAGGGGAAATAACAAGAATAATGTTGGCTTGCTTGAGAGTTTTTTTCTTCACCATTATTGGGTGGCACGTTTACAAGAGGGTAAAAAAATCGATGCTTATTAATTTTTCAAGAGTGTAATTTGAGGAAACGTGTTTTCCAAACCCAAAACTGGTTTAAAAAAATAATAATAATAATAAATTTTTGTCCTTCACACTTTCTTCCAATTTTGCCATCTAGATTATTTGTAATTCATATATTTTGTTTGAAACGAACTTATAAATAAAAATATAATAATTAAAAAATTACTTATATGTCGAGTTGTGATCGAGGTAGATCAAGAGTAGGGATGATGTGCAGGCAGATTTGAGCCTAGAATGAGGCGAGTGAAGGATTTAGAATAACTTCATTGAATGATCATTGAGCAAGAAATATGTTTTATATGAAGGTTTATACATCCGCAGCATAGACCATATCCGATCTTCTTTGACTACTTATATACATAGTTAACCCTTCCCCGACCGATACTTCCATAGACAAATAGGTTTTCAATTTATATGTTAAAATTATTTTTTAAATGCAAAATTAACTTATAACAATAAAATTTTCTTGTAAGTAAAAAATTAACTTATATGAAAAAATTATTTATAAATAAACATCATTTATGAGAAAAAATTTCATACAAAAAATTAAAAATTGAAAACTTACATAAGGGTATGTAATTTTAGTTATTTATAAAACTTTTGGAACCACAAGCATAAATTTGTCTGTTTTAAATTCGCTACTAAAAATCATCCAAAATCGGATGCACAAAATCGTCATTTAAAAAAAACCCCATAACCAATACCTAAAACTCCCAAGCATGGGCTAAGGGGCTAATTCTAAACAAATCACAAATCAAACTAATACGTCAAATCAGAAATTTGGTATTTACCCTTTAAATATGAATGGAATTGATCTAATGCCCATGGTGAGCATGGATTATAATGCCCATGGTGAGCATGGCAACATCATTAGATCATTTCTATCAATATGTATATATTAGCATCCAATGATATGTCAATCTAGCCAGTTTGCTGTCAGCTCTTTCAAGTGATATGGACTCAGAACTTCAGTTTTCGCTAAACATAACCAACCAGCTCGAGAGAGGAGCTTAGCATTGTCCGTAGCACTCAATTATAGATTTTGAGACTCTTCTCTAACTCTCCTGTTAAGAATAACTTAAAGATCAAATCCCGGGATGCATTGGACTTGATCTTTGTTAAGTGTGAAAAATATATTTTTTGATCATCTAGAGGTATGAAACAAGACAGGTCGGATAGCAGCCTTAAAATCTTCAGAAAATCTTTGTTCTGAGAACCTTAAAGCTCGTCTCCTTGCAGCAGTAGCCATCTCAAGCCGCTCAGGTTCAGGCATAGTAATGATTTTGACAATAGCATCTGCATATTCTTGCACGCTCTGAGCTAGACACCCTGTTTGCTTTCCTTCTTCTGGTAAAACAATGTCCATCTTCGGGCCAGCTGAATTATGCGCTAACAACTCAAAAAAACTCGTAAGTTGATTGCAAATACAGAAAATACAAGATACATATAACACCAGAGGATAACAATAATATGAAAAATTGGAAACACACCAATTGGTATGGCACCAGAAGCCATGTACTCCACTACGCTTATGCCAAAATGCTCGTCTACCATGGAGTGAATTCCAACAGCAGCACCTCCCAAAAGTTTCACGAGCTCACTGCAGCAACCCAAAAATGTAGAAATAAATACTAAGAGTCAATATCCTAATTAGAAAATGTTGGTATATAATCTTAAAATGGGCAAGCGCAAATGTATGATATAGGTTAACACCATATTGACAAAACATCAGGAGGTTGAAGCACCTACCGCAGCCAGTTATAGATAATATATGTTGTTAAACTGGACAACATACAAACTTAACCTACATTATAGTTTCAACTACAATAAACTCTCTTCGGGCAAATTGATGAGCAAAATGGGACATAATAATTCCCCACATCAGAATCACAAGTTCCCGAATGGGGGGGCTATCGTTGCTATGAAGGTTAACTCTTTTGTTTAGAACATTTGCTTAGAATCACTAAGTTCATCGTATAAGACCATTACGAATTAGAATGCAAGTTAATAGTTAGTATTTTCAATTGTAAAAAGGTTGTAGAATTCCACGAAATATCTAGAATCAGTCAGTGGTAGAAAAACTAAAAGGGAATGTTTGGTATGTAGTATTACTCTGTGTTGGACAGTGCAATTAAAGAGAGATTAATTTTCTTTTCTTTTTGATTATCAACTAGTGTTGTCTAATACGCCTTTTATCAAGCATACTAAAAGAGTAAAATCATAAACCTGTACAACACGTTTTTATGGAACTCCACATCACTATCCACCTTCAGCTGATTAGCTCGATCCCTGAGGTCTTGCAATCTTTTCTCATCTGCTTCATTTCTGCAACTACCTACAAATTGGAGCTTTGGTCTTGGCAGATCTGCATCTAAATTTTTTACAGCAACTGCAAATGCCTCAAGTTGAAGGAGGTGTGCCTGTAAAATATTAATCAAGATCAAGCAAACTTCAAACAAGACTTAGAAAGTTCATAGAAAATAAACAACTTCTATCTTAATCTCATAAAAAGCCCACCTTCTCTGGACGAAATTGAGCCACAGATATAATCTTTGGTGATTGCATTGGCCTTTCTAATGGTAGCACCTGCTTGGACGGTGTAGGTATTTACACAAACACAGAAATCTTTTCAAGACAGATCAAGACTTGCAGTATAGCATCCAAAAATTCTCTTTTAATCACAGTATTTCTTTTCTACTTCCTTACATTTCCTTAATCATTTTGACACGAGTTGATCAAAGTCAGCTGGGTTAAGTAGTTTAAATCAACGAAGAGCCTTCTAAGACTGGCAGTTCACAACTTGGTAAGAGTTGATAAACAAACTTTATTACATGAAAGCACTTGAAACTTATGACACACGGGCCTTATCATGATACTTCAAGTATCTATTCCAGAGCCTTTCTACAACATTATCAAAATAGAAAAAAAATTTCTAAAATACAAACCTGAAGCGTTGAAGTATCACATGGAGGATAAACTCGCTTAATACGAGCTGTAATTCCCCAAAGCTTCTCAATATGGGATTTCGTCCATGAAGAATTCACCATTGCAAGGTGTGCACACGAGCCTACTATTCCATACATCCAGCTGAAAATCATGTAATAGACGACTTTGCACCATGACAGTAGTGCACTGAAAGTATTGGTTAGTTTCATGAATTTAGTATACAGCAAACAGATGAAAACTAATTGGTTTATCAAGATTTTAAACTGGCTTCATTGGGTACACAATTTGTAAATACTGTGAGTACTGTTTAAAAAAAAAAAAAAACAGATATTTCAAAAAGAACTCAATAATCAGTCGTCACGATGAGAAACTCGGAAGACGCAAATGAATGGAAAAAGATTATATAACTTTAGAATATTAAGGCGTAGATTTTTCTAGCCAAATACATTTAGGAAGATTGGAAATAACCATTGATGGAGCATGTTTCCTCAGACCCGAAATGAGATTTTTCTCTCCATATCTCAAATTAGATTATTCACACCATGTTGAGAAGCTATATGCACGCAAATACCAAGTTTCCTCAACAATTAATGCTGTAAACATCAACCATCTTTTGGGTTATAAATATAGAAAAGAAAAAAAATTACTATACATTTCAAATTTGAGCCCATTTGATGGGACAATCTTAATATACTAGCTTTATATTAGAAGTTGAAAAAATACCTCTTAGCAATGAAAGCATCGTTGTTGTACATAGAATTTTGTTCATGAACACGAGATAGCATGTCTAAACTGATCGTCGGGTAATGCGTGTAGGTAATAACTTTACATCCAAATAACCGGGCAATAGGATAAGTAAATGCATATCCACTGGTATCTAAATAATACAAAGGTGTAAACTTGCACAAAGCTTCCCATGAAAGGTACACTGAACCAAAGCTCTGACCAATCATAGTGAATCGAGGATACATGGTTTCTTCAACCCATTTCCTGTTATAAAGATGCACCACCTGATAACAGAGCACATTCATGAATTTTAAGAAACTGATAACTAATATATTCTTCTAAACAGAAACTAAGCAAGTCAAAATATTGAGTAGTAAAAAATGAAAAGATAGAAAAGAAACAGGGCACAAAAACTGCTACATTCTTCTATTTATAGTTTATTTCCAAAGCTCCAATTTGCATGTCAATTTGCTACTAATCAAAATGTAACACTTAAATATAGCAAATTACACTTGAATGATGATACTTCGCATAGGTATGGATTCTGCTTCACAAGCATTTCATCCCATCCAAGCACTTTTGCAATGTTCTCCAAAATTGCTTAGAGCTTTTTGCGCTATTTTTATGCACAAAACAGTGCTGCACTTGGCATTTTTGAAATTTTAGCAAGTTTTAGGACATTTTCTCGTCTTTTATCATTTTCCCAATATATCTTCCAACCTACGAAGCATGAATTAAATGCAGATGTGTTTCACATGTGTCTGGATATGTCCAACTCATGTTGTGGTGTTGGAGTTTAATAGCGTACGAAATCAACACTCCAGCAGCATGTCTGTGCTCACTTCCAACCACAAAACCCCCCACTGTACCCCAATCTGATAGGTGCGCTACTCTCTCTTACTCCTCATTTTCAACCTAGAAGCATGTCAACCATCCACTGACACCAAAGTTCCCCTCCTCTCTCTTACTCCTCATTTTCAACCTAGAAGCATGTCAACCATCCACTGACACCAAAGTTCCCCTCCTCTCTCTTACTCCTCATTTTCAACCTAGAAGCATGTCAACCATCCACTGACACCAAAGTTCCCCTCCTCTCTCTTACTCCTCATTTTCAACCTAGAAGCATGTCAACCATCCACTGACACCAAAGTTCCCCTCCTCTCTCTTACTCCTCATTTTCAACCTAGATGTACGTCCACCATCCACCAAGACCAAAGTTTAACCCATCTTCAACCACCAGAGACACACAACTGGTCAAACATTTCCCATTTCTATCATCTCTGCTACTGTTTCCCATACTCGTATCCACTGTGTTTCGCCACAGAGAACATTCCTAATTGCCTCCCAATAAACTGCTCTTGGCTCTATTCATTCCAATGTAAACAAAGAGACAAGAATAGAAGCACACTTCTACTGTCAACATTAAGAATGCTCTTCCATAACATTGGTTCTCTATCTACAATTTAATGCCATTTAGTAAAGAAAATTTGTTCTTTTCAGTTTTGACTTTCTACTGTTGCTGCACCCAAAAAATATGTCGTATTAATATAAACAAACTTATAACACATCTCAAATCCAATCTACTATGAGCCTAATATTAATAGAAGATATGGACTTCTCATATTTATTAGGCTAAACTTAAGCACAGTGTTCTCCATTATTTTAACTTATTTCAGCAATTCTTAAAGACTCGATTCATACAATTACACGCAATTACATCATCGAAAAACCCAAAATGTGCAGTTATATGTTCACTCTATCAACTTAAAAATTAAAAACAAACAAAACCAGAATTCTTAAGACACTCATCATATAAAACATGGATGTATATAAATGTAGGAATGTTCATAGAAGGACTTGAAAGCAGAAATTTACACAGATTAGTGTAGGATTCCGGTGCATACCTACGCATGTACACGGGTACGGGTACGAAATGGAATGTACCTTGGGAGAGTGGAGAAATTTGACCCCAAAACGATCTAGGGCTCGGGCGGCGAGGGATTTAGGGGAGGCATCATGATCACCGGTATAGATGACGCAGTCAAGATCGGGTGACTCTTCTTGGATTGCTTTGACGGCGCACCAGAGAACTCGCTCACCTCCACCGCCGTCGTTTGTGTATGGATGGAAGAATCCCATGGCTTTCTTCCTGTTTCTCCGGCAACTGATTACGACTAAGAAGAGTCGGATAACAAATGCCAATAATAGGCTTCCGAGCGGCAAAGTCGAGAAGAGTAGCCATTTAGCCATTCGATAAATATAACCAGCTCAATTAAAATATTCAAACATCAAATTCACACGTGATTTTCAATCACGATAAAACCCTAAATCAACAGAAGAAATAACTTCGATACAGCCAGAAACAAGATCCCAGTTTTAGACAGTATTATTTGTTATAATTGGAAATTGGAAAAACGAGTAACACTGTAACAGTAAACATTATGAGTTAACTTTTAATATACTTA